ATCAAAGAATGAGCCCAACAGAGCACTAAGGGATACATGTATAATAGAGGTACTTGAACTCTAACCTTCCATAACAAAAAAAATTAAAGAGCTTCTAATGTTTACTTCAGCTAGGGATTAAAAAAAACTACAATTAGGGGGCCTGGGTGGGTCAGTTGGTTAAGTGTCTGTCTTCGGCTCAGGTCATGATCCCAGGGTCCTGGGATCAAGCCCTGCATTGGGCGCCCTGCTCAGTGGGGAGTCTGCTTCTCCCTCTCCCTCTGCCTGCTGCTCCCCCTGCTTGTGCTCTCTCGCTCTCTGTCACATAAACAAATAAATAAAATCTTTAAATAAATAAATAAAAGTTAAAAAAAAAACCCTACGATTAATACTCTCAGCAAAGTTGCAGGATACAAAATCAATATGCAGAAATCAGTAGTGTTTTTGTAAGCTAACAACAAAAAATTAGAAAAGGAAATGAGGGGCTCCTGGTTGGCTCAGTCAGAAGAGCATTAGACTCTTGATGCCAGGGTCGTGAGTTAGAGCCCCAGATTGGGTGTAGAGATTACAAAAAAAAAAAAAAAAAAAAAATTAAAACTTTAAAAAAAGAAAATTTAGAGAACAATTCCATTTATAGCAGCATCAAAAAGAATAAAATACTTAGAAATAGACTTAACTAAGGACATGAAAGATTTGTACAAAGAAAGCTACAAAATATTCCTTAATTAGAAGGTATAAATAAATAGAAAGACATGGCATGTTCATGGACTGGAAAACTTAATATTGTTAAGATGTCAAAAAGACTACTCAAAAAGATCTATAGATTCAATTCAATCTCTATCAAAATTCCAATGAGTATTTTTGCAGAAATAGAAAAATCTGTCCTAAATCCATATGGAATCTCAAGGGACTCCAAACAGCTGAAACAATCTTGAAAAACAAAACTGGAGATCACATACTTCCTGATTTCAAAACTTACTAAAAGTTACAGTAATCAGAACAGCGTAGTACTGACATAAAGACAGATGTGGAGGCCAATGGAACAGAATAGAGAGCCCAGTATGATCAAATGGTTTTTGACAATGGTGCCAAGCCCATTCAAGGGGGAAACTGTCTTTCCGACAAATGGTGTTGGGAATACTGGATAGCCACATTTAAAAGAATGAAGTTTGGCCCTTACATCATATACAAAATATAACCGAAAATGGATGAAAGATCTAAACGTAAGAGATAAACTATACAATTCTTAGAAGAAAACAGGGTAAAAGCTAAATAATATTGGATTTGGCAATTATTTCTTGGATAAGACACCAAAAGTATAGGTAACAAAAGAAAAAAATAGATAAATTGGACTATACCAAAATTTAAAGTTCTGGGCATCAAAGGACACACATATAAGCAGAGTGAAAAAGCAACCCACAGAATGGGAGCAAATATTTGCAAATTATATATCTGATAAAGGTTAATATCCAGGGGCACCTGGGTGGCTCAGCTGGTTGGGCATCCGACTCTTGATTTTGGCTCAGGTCATGATCTCAGCGCCCTAAGATTGAGCCCCTCATCTTTTTCTGCACTCAATGGGGAGTCTGCTTAAGATTCTTCTCTCTTCCTCTCCCTCTGTCCCTCCCCCCGCGCCTTCTCTTTCTTTCAAATAAATAAATATATCTTAAAAAAAAAAAAGATTACTATCCAAACTATATAAAGAACTTCTACAACTCAGTAACAAAAAACAAACCTGATTAAAACATAGGCAAAGGACTTGGACAGACATTTCTCCAATGATACACAAATGGCCAATGAGCACATGAAAAAATGTTCAACATCACTAATCATTGGGTAAATGCAAATCAAAATCACAGCATCACCTTACATCCCCTAGGATAGCTATTTCTATTAAAAAAAAAAAAAAGAAAAACAGAAAATAACAAGTATTGGTGAGAATGTGGAGAAATTGTAATCCTCATGCATTACTGGTGGGAATGTAAAATGCTGCTATGGAAAAGAGTATGGTAGTTTATTTATTTTTATCTTTTTAAAGATTTTATTTTCTTGAGAGACAGATGGCAAGCAGGGGGGTAAGAGCAGAAGGAGAAGCAGACTCCCCGCTGAGCAGGGAGCCCAACATGGGACTCTATCCCAGGACCCTGGGATCACGACCTGAGCCAAAAGCAGATGCTTAACTGACTGAGCCCCCCAGGTGCCTGAGTATGGTAATATAAAATTAAAAATATAATTACCACATAATTCAGCAATCCCACTTCTAGGTAGATAACCCAAAAGAGTTGAAAGCAGAGTCCTGAAGAGACTACTTGTACACCCATGTTCAGAGCAACATTATTCACAATAGCCAAAAGATGGAAGCAATTCAAATGTCCAATAATGGATGGATAAGCAAAATGTGGTATATACAACAGAATATTATTTAGTCTTTTTTTTTAAAGATTTAGTTTATTTATTTTGACAGAGAGAGACACAGCGAGAGCAGGAACACAAGTAGGGGGAGTGGGAGAGGGAGAAGCAGGCCTCCCGCCGAGCAGGGAGCCCGATGTGGGACTCGATCCCAGGACCCTGGGATCATGACCTGAGCCGAAGGCAGATGCTTAATGACTGAGCCACCCAGTGCCCGGAATATTATTTAGTCTTAAAAAAGAAAAAAATTCTGATGCTACAATATGGATGAACCTTGAAGACATTATGCTAAGTGAAATAAGCCAATCACAAAAAGACAAATACTGTATGATTCCACTTTTCGGAGGTATTTAGAGTAGTCAAAAATCACAGAGATAGAAACTGGAATAGTGGCTGCCAGGGCTGGAGGCAGGTAAATGGGGAGTTATTATTTAATAGGTATAAAATTTCAGTTTTACAAGATGAAGAGCTCTGGAAATGGATGTGGTGATGGTTGCACAACATTATGAATGTATTTAATACCACTGAACTATACACCTGAAAGTGGTTAAGATGAAAAATTATGTATATTTCATGACAATTTTTTTTAAAGTATCCCCATTCTCCCCCTTGCCAAAAAGAGATAGAAGGTAAGAATTTTCTAAGATTTCTTAACCATTTAAGTTTTCTCATGTTTACTTTGGCCATTCTTGTTTCTTTCTAGAAATTAGCCGTTTAAAAAATCATAAAGAGGAAAATTAAAAGTATGTGAAGCCTCTGTTACAACTTTTTTATAGTATCTTATTGTATCTGGCTGGGATGGTCCACAGCAGGCATCAATAATATAATGGTGCTGCTTCAGAAGGAGAGCATTCTAATACCTAACACATGATCGCTAGCACATATATTGCTTACTAGGTGCCAGAAACTCTTGCAAATGCTTTACATATATGAAACTATTTAATACAGTATGAAGTAGCTATTAATAGCATCTTTATTTTATAGATAAGGAATCTGATGCACTATATAGTTAAATAACTTGCACAAGGTCACCACCTTCGAGTGGTGAGACGGCTTTCAAATGGCATCTTAGATGGCAGCCTCCATCCAGAACTCATAGACTTGATAAGTAGATCACATGACCTCTTTCTGAACATAGCACTACTCCCATGCAATAGGAGGCACTCAAGATGAAAATTTTAGACTAAATCCTAAAGACAAAGCATGACATAACAATCTTCAGCATGGTATACATAATCTGAGCCTATCTCCCTTTCTTGCATCATCTCCTATCCACCTGCCTAATAAACTCCCACCTGCCTCATTCCCTCTGTGAGCTATACCAACCTTTCTACAGTTCCTTGATTAAAATCAAGCTGTTAACTGCCAAACCTTTGCACATGCTGTTTGTTCTCTTTACTTAAAACATTCTCTCCCCTCCTCCCACCACCTTCTTTGTCTGGCTAATCAGACTTTAATTCAGTTGTAAAGTCTGGTCTGACAGTAAATCTCACATGCACCCCTGTTCTTCCTGTATGTTCCCAGATAACATATAGGAAGTACACATTTGTACACTACAAAATCTCTTCGAACTATAACTATATATGATTCATTCTTATTCACAAGTTATGGCATATGGTAAGTGCATCCCTTGAATAAGTGTCTCCCAAGTACACTGGAGCATGCAAGAATACTTCTGGGGTTCATGTTTCAGAACCCATTAATTAATGATGAGTCCATTATGATGAGGTTCTGCCAGAACCTACATTTACCACTGGAAAGTTCCAATACAGATCCACATACTAGACTTTAGATTTAGGTGGATCACGTTTTCATGGCACCCCAGTTTAATGTGAAAGCTGTAAAGCACTGTAGTATTAAACCTATAGTTGCAGCAAGAAACAAATGTAATACTAAGCATTTCCCACGCATGGGGAAAATATACTATGTCAAAGACACAGAATTAGATATTAATATCAAACCTTCAGTTTACCTTTATTAGAAAATTCTTTTATACGGAGTACATTTTAACACAATCACAAATAATATTTATATACTCATTCCAACCATAATAGCTGAATCACTGCATTTCATATAACCAGTCTGGCTCTTATTTCATTATACCGTTAATTATCTGTTTACATGACTCTATCTCTATTAGACTTCAGGCTCTTTGAAGGCAAACTGCCATTCACCTTTATGTCTCAGTGCTTGGTAGCAAAGATTCCCAGAGGCTTGAAGAATAACTTAAGTAGTATTTCAAAGTCTATAAAGAATCCTGCAAATAATTTTACAGAAAAAAATTAAGTTTAGAGGTTATATAACTTGGCTGAGATCATAGAGCAAGTAGATAAATGAATTCAGAATTCAAATCCAGGTCTTCAATCAACAATTTCTATGCCCTTTCCACCACACCACACATATTACCATAAGTCAATAACTACAAATTGTGCAAGTACTACATCCTGTGTTAGTTGTCTGTAGTTATAAAGCAACAATTCTATCATAAGTCACAAAAAGTTACAATAATAAAGGTCCTTTAAAAATGAGATCTCTGAACTGTCACACAAAGTTAGTTATCACTACTAGTCTCAATAGAATACTGCTATAAGTATTTTAAAAAAAGATTTTACCTTGTACTTCTTTATCATGATACTCCTTTAGTTTTGTCCAAATTTCCTTAAAGTCATTAGATATATCTACAGAACTAGGGCTTCCACAATTGCTTCCAGAGATGTTCATCTTGCTTAATATGCTCCACACTTCTTTTTGCCTAATGTTTTCTGACCTTTTTCTGTTACATTATATAGGTATGAAGTTGTCTTTGACAGTTGAAATGCCTGAAACGATAGATTGCAACATAAATGAATTTTGCATTTATATGTATGTAATTTGATGTCAGGATACCTTCAAGCCTAGCCAGCTCTTCTCAAGTTTTCCTTATTTACCTACAATCAATCACTTTGAGAATTTGGGGGATGGGAAGTGAAAATGATTATAGTGAGAACCCTGATTTCAGTTATTTGGTCCTTAGTTAAGCTAAATTTTCAGGCAAACTTTCTCTTATTCCTCCTGGGAAGAACTTACTTGAGATGATTCTGCTATGGAGGTCTGAAGTCATTCACACTCAGTATTGATTGATTCATCATTCTTAATTAATTTATTCCTTTGTTAAATTTTGACAGGGAGTGCAACAAAAACTGGAAAACGTTCTGAAATACTCTTGACAAACAGTATTCACATACACATCTACATATTCATAGAAGCACAAATCTTATAAAAGAGCAAGAAAGATTGTGATTAATACACCTGAAGATCTGAATACCTTTCTCATAACAAGAGAAATACGTGAGCAAGGCATAGGCACAACAAAGATCTATGAATACAGAAACGTCTAGTAATAAGGCAGAAAGGGTAAGGCTATTTTGTGCCCCTCTCAGAGTAGACGTGAAATGATTATTACTTGTGTAGCCCCAAAGGAAGCAACAGGATACTAAGAAGTTCAAGTGGATTCACAAATACTTTAATATGTGTCCTTAAGCTGAAACCATTAACTAGCTACTACTAAGTCAAACGATTAACAAGTCTACTCTATCTTACACATGGCTCTTTAGCCAATGCCTTACCATTGCTAATGTGTCCAAACTGATTTAAGTGTCTCTTACAAACCATTTCTCAAGGTCTCTGATGATGAGGCTAAAATAAGCAATGACACTTTTTTTTCCTAAAGTAGGCTCCATGCCTAAGGTGGGGCTTGAACTCACGACTCTGAGATCAAGAGTCCTATGCTCAACCAACTAAGCCACTCAGGCACCCCAGCAATGACATTTCTAAAGGAGCAAGATTATGACTGAAGCCACTTTGAAAAGCACTACAGAAATACTGTAAAAACACAATTTTATTAAGCTTTTTAAAAACTGTGATTTAGGTTTTTTTTGGGACAATCAGTGAAAACTGAACATGTACTGGATTTTAGATAATGTTAGGGAATTATTTTTAATTGTCTTGGGTATGATAATGTGCTCATGTTAAAAAAAGGAAGTCCTTAGCTGTTAAAAAGATATATACTGATATATTTATAGGTAAACTCACCTGTTCTGCATTTGCTTTCAAATACTCCAGCTAAAACAAAAAATATTGGGTTGATGAAACAAGAAGGGCTGCTTTGACAATTATTGAAAGTGAGTAATGGATGGGTCTGTGACAGAGTTCATAATTCTAGTCTCTCTCATGTATATTTATTATTTCCATTATAAAGTTTTTAAAAGAGGATTGGGTGCATGAATTAATACAGCTTTATTTCCAAAGAGGCCTGAATTCTATTTCTTAACCCTAAAAGATAATAGGCCTATTGTCAACAAGCGCCACCATTTGTTGTTTACTATGTAACAGATACCATGCTGTTTTATAGTCATTTTTTAAACTTAATCTTGAGAACTCTATAGAACAGCTACTGTTATTAATTTCATTTTAGAGTTGGAGAAACAGGTTTAAGAGATTAAGTGATTTGCCCAAGGTCATACAATTAGGTCCCACACTATGTCTCGAGGGCAGGGCTGAAGAGGGGAGGGGGGCTCTAGTGATGCTAATTAACTATAAAATACTTTAGCCCAAGAAAAATAATTATTTCTATTAAGTAATAGTTTAAAAGTTTTAATTACTTTAATGAATAACTTAAAATTGCATGGTATGAAATTGCTTAAAACCAATAGTGTAAAACATTTTTAAATATATCTTCAGAGGTAGTAAAAAAAAAAAAAAAAAGGCTTTGTCCCCACTTAAAAACAGTTTACCAACACAACACTAAACTTGAAAATTCTGGCTCACAAAACCCTCTCCAACCTATCCTGCACTCCCAGCACCTTTATCAGAATCTCTCTTGGCTTGAACCGTTATCGATGCACGATGATGTGCCTTAATTTCGCAGAAATGTGCATCTTGTGTCGCAAGGTGCATCCCGGGTTCAAAGGTCTGTAACAATTTAATACATTTCTGTGCGTCCTGTAGCAGTGTAAACCACCACAGTTAAAGTGCTCAGTAAAATACTTCTTTTCTGTCGCACCCACCACACATATTCTCACACAGGTAAAGCAAGAGTCACACAGGTGCCCGAAATAAACGAATAGGGACTCGGGCTGGTCTTCTTACGAGCAATGCAGAGGTCCACAGGCTCCCATCCCAAGATCCGTAGCCACCAGCCTCTCCCGCGCGCCGCTGTCACCCAAACGTTCCAAAAACCTGCAGCGCAACTGGCGCGGGAAGTGCGCACCGCGGACTCGGCGCATGCGCGGGGCGGACTCGGCGGCGGTAGGCGAGTCCTCAGCCCGCGCGGGAGACCAAAGAGCCACAGGGAACGCAAGCTCGTCCTCCCTCCGACTCACCTCCAACCGGGTTTAGCCGGGCCTCAGCCTGCTCCCTCAGGCAGCCCCAGAAGCCGCACGGCTACCACAACTCAGGGGCCAAACGCGTATGCTCGGCCCGCAGCTCCAGACCGGAAATAGCCGCTACGACCCGCCGCTCTGGATTGGGGAAAGGAGATTCCTCTTTACTCACGGCTTGCAAGATTGCCTCAAAGATTCTCAAAAGCCCCAGCACGGAAGCAGGCACGGCAGCCGCTCGCTTTTCTTACCCTCACTAATCTGCCAAACCCCCTCCGGGAAAGCCGGCCCCTCAGGGCGGCCCGCGCTTTCTGGGGGATGGGGGAGGGCCCGAGGGCGGCCGGCCGGGCTGGGAGGTGCCCGGACCCGCCCCCCCTTGGAGCCCGCTCGACGTCACGCTGGAGTTCCCGCCACGTCACGCCCCTCCTCCCGCAGCCGAGCGAGGCGGTGCCCCGCACGCCTCTCGCGGAAGAGGGGTGTGGCTCGTGTGTCCCCACGCTAGGGGCTGTGATGGGAGAGTGGAACGCCAGCCGCTGCGCGGTCGGGAGCGGCTCCAGGAGCTGGCGGCCGCCACAGCATTTTTGTTGAGATGACCTGGAGAAAGCGCAAGCTTTTCTGTCTGGGCAACCTCAAGCCCTTGGTGTGTCTGACTTTAGCACATTTCAGGAAAGCATGTATGAGTGGCCAGTACCGCATGGAAAGTTAAAACTGATGAGGGAACGGACACGGATCAGTCTAACGTAGTTTCCGCCTGGTAGCTATTACCTGCAGTTTAGTGATGTGACCGGACAGCACTGGGTGGTGAGGCCATGTAGCAAAACGATGTGTATTTTGCTGAGGTTAAATGGAAAGTTCCTGAGGACCCTGAAATGAGACGGAATCAGAATGACCAGCATTATTTGTTGGAACAAGCTTTAAATTAGGTAATTTAATGTTTTAAAAAATAAACACTTCCTGTGGCTGTTTGTAACGTTCAGAAAGTTACTATGTTTTCTTATTTGATTTCTAAAAGAAGCGTTTTAGCACTAGCAGTTCTACAAGTGAAGTTGAAAATAAGCAGAATAGGCTAGAATCACAGTATCTTTTAAACCAGTTCAGTACTTTTCTGTAATATTTATACGATCCGGGAGGAAGACAGGATAGTATTATGAACTTTTAAAAGTTAAGTAGTATTTAGGAAATAATAAATATAAACTGTAAAGAATTTTTCCACTCAGTTCCGATGTTAAGGGATGAATATCAGAGCTTACTCCTTGAAACTGCACTCAACAGGATGTTTCTGTACCATTCTAGCAATGTTATAGGAACTTTGGTTTCTTCAGGGAAGAGGGTTGCGGAATCTTCGTTACCTTATTGTAGTAACTATCATTTGCTTCCAAATTTTACTACTTCATAATACTGTTAAAGAAAATGGGTGAAAAATTGATTGCCATTTCTAAGATAACACAGGCGTAATTGCTTGTATAAATGTTTAAAATGGAAACAGTTTTGTTATAAATGGAAAGAGCTTGTAATCAGTTTGTCATTTAACAGTACATTGCAATAACAGTGTATTTGTGGTCCAAAGAAAAACTGTGAGAACAAAATGATCTAACCTGTTCCTCTAGCTTCTAAGGCTCCTCTGTCTAATGCATTTATGCAAGTCAGAATCCAAAGAATCAGCCTTGACACCTTTTTCCCCTTTAATCCTCATATCCAATCTATCACCAAGTCCTTTCAATTTTACTTGCCAAATAGATCCCAAATTAATCCCCTTCTTTCCTTCACCACCAGGATATTCCAAAATACCACTTTCTCTTACCTAGTCTGCTAGTATATTTTCCATATCCACCCAACCAACAAACCACCTAAACCTTTATCTTCATTGGTGTTCAGAAAAAAATTTGAGTATCTATTCTCAATTCATGCATATATCTAAAATTTAAATTGTATACATGTAAAAAAAAAATAGGGGCACCTGCCTGGCTCAGTCAGTGCAGTTAAGTGATTCTTGGTCTTGAGGTGATGAGTTCAAGCTCCATGTTGGGCGTAGAGCTTACTTAAAAAAAAAAAAAGATAAATTGTGTACATGTATTGTTGAAAAATGGTATATAGTCTAATGGTTAAGTCAGGCTCTGGAGACAGACTTCCTGGTTTTGGATCCTGCTCTAATACTTCCTTACCAAGTGACCTTGGACTGACTTTTTAACCTGTCTCTTTTTCTTACCTGTAAAAGGAGGTTAATAGTACCAACCATACAGAGTTATGAAGAATATAAGTTAGTGCGTGTAAACTGCATAGTACACTGTTTAGATACACAGTATGTGCTCAGAAAAAAGCTAGCCCTTATTAGTACTTCTGAGTTCTGAGCTAACTGACAACTTATAAAGACATTTTTTAAAAGGATGAGAAAAAATGGAAATCTAATATTTTTTCCTCCTCCCATCTTAAATTTTACCCACTTTGATACCACTTCTTTACACTAT